GGCTTGTGGGAAGCCCTATGGAATGATTAAACTCTAGCTCCTTTGGGGGTCACCGTCACCCATTTAACTATGGCATGGGAAACTCAACATTTTGGGGTCCACTCAGTATACCCTAACTGTTCCCAAGCCATAACTACCCAATGGCAACAACATTCCTGGTGGATCCGACAACATTGGCCCCCCCAAAAGAAGCAAAAGGGGAATACTTGGAAGAGTAGGGGCTGGCCTTAGTATCCTGGGACAAGCTGAACTTGCAGCTAATGAAGAACGTCATTCATTAGAAAAAGGTTTTTAATCTCAAATAGGTCATATGGAGGGAATACTGCCGGGAACCAAGTCCAGCATGTCATAATTTCAAGAGTTTCATCAAAAGGTTGATAAGACTTGGAGACTCAACAGGGTTGAGTCACACATGTAGTCACCTGTTGGGAATGGCTTAAAGGCATTTTCCCTAACCTGAATAGGACACATTTAAAATCTGTTTTTCTATGAAGCATGACTTTGGGAAAAAATACGCCATCTGAGTCATTGGCTGAAACTTCCCCCAAAGCAGAATGTGGGGGAAGGGAAGGAAGGAGCCACGTGGTGATCCAATATGGATGCCCCTCCCCAAATATGCTAATTCAAAGTCTCCTTCTCGCCACAAAAAGTTTTACAAAATTTAGAAATGTGTCTGGGATTTCTGTACACGTGTAAAGAGAAAATGAAGGAGCCAAGTGGTGATCCAATATGGATGCCCCTCCCCGAATATGCTAATTTAAAGTCTCCTCCTCGCCATGAAAAGTTTTACAAAGTTTAGAAATGTGTCTGGGATTTCTGTGCTCATAAAGAGAGAAACTGGCTTGAGATGAAATGTGCGCACAGTCCGATTTTGGCTTTTAATAAGCTAGGCTTAAATCTTTCTTTGTGATGGTACAAAATAAAACCCAAGTCTGATTATTTCCTAAGAAAAATGGCAAATTTGACCAAAGGAAAGAATGCAGGCTGGTTCTAGCAACAAGGTTGGTATTTTCCATAATAAAGAATAGTCTTTAAATGGCTAATGAACCGCATTCCAAAGTTAACTCTTAGGCCGCCAAGAAATTCAGTAAAATTGCCTCTGTTACAAAAATTAATCTAAAAAATAGGCCTTAAAATAACAATTGGATTTGAATCTCAAGAATTATTGAAATATATTAATTATAAAAGTCTAGGTAGCCCAGGTAAAAACTGGCGACGCCCTTTGTTCATTGGGGGGCTAGTTGCCCTTCCCCCAACAGAACAAGCAGGTCAAAAAAATTTCCCACCGGTGGCAACTTGTAAAGATAAGCTTGCTTCTGGGTCTCCCATCCTTGGGGCTAGTCATATTTCCATCAGAAAAGAGTGTGGTCAATTTACATCTGAAAAGACCAGGTAGGTCAGAATCTGCTTTCCAAGCCTCAAATGTGGTTTTCCAGAGCTGCTGGAAACTAAAAAGTAAAGTTTAAATTTGCCTCATGAAAAATCTAGAGGACAGAATTGAATCTATTGATTGTGTCTTGTATTTTTCAAACTTATTCTTAAGAATATAAGGTGTTACTAATCTAAAGAAATGCTAAATATTTAACTTACCAGCTAAGAGTTTAAAGTTCTAGTTAAAAGAAATTGGGAGACATTATAGTTGTGGTAACTAAATGTATAAGTATAGAAATTTAATTTGAAGACAATCTTGTTTTCTCTGAAAATAATTAGGAATTCAAAATATATTGCTTATTGGTCTAATTGAAAAAGAGGATTAATTCTCTGATCCCAACCGAAATGTTTAATACTAAAACCGGTTTAAATTTAATTGATATTTTAAAATAATTATAAAGGTATATAATCTTTCAATCACATATATATATTTGATGGTCTTTCAAGTTGGATTTCAAAACTATAACCAAGGAATAACCTTGAGACATTTCACAGGCCCTGAAATGTTTTTAAAAGTTACTCTTAAAGGAAATATTTTTGAATTTAACCAAATTTAATATACTTGAAATCACATGGAAAGCTTTATCAAATAAAGATTAATAAATACATTTTACTTATATACATATAAGTAAACCCTTATATAT